GTGCATGTAGCGTGTGTGTGTGAGTGTGTGTGGGTGTGTGTAGCATGCATGTATATGTAGTATGTGTGTTGTGTATGTGTGTGTAATGTGTGTAAAATAGACAGAGACAGACTAAGGCACAGAAACTGATGGGTCACTGCAGGTAATAGGAATGAAGAGTCTAGAATGGGCAGGAAGTCGCTTTGCAGTGTTTATTCTTTTATGCTCTTAAACATTTAAACTTTTTGAGTATTACTTTTTTCAATTAAAGATTTCAACAAAGATTAGTTTAATAAAAGAAGGAATTTGATCTCCCTTGCAAACTCTGCACTCACCAGAGTTTTCAAACATGGGTGCTTTCCCTAGTCCAAGTAGCCAGACACACTGGAAATCTCCAGTGAAGCTCGTGTTTGGATGGTGAGGAGGAGGAGGAGGGACCGAGGGAGCAGAGCAGTCTCTTCAGAGCATGTGCTGCTGCTTTCCCTGAGCCTGAGTTCCCTCAGGAGGAGCCCGTGTGCTCCCCAGACACCAGGCCTCCACGGGGCGGGGCTTCGAGGTCCTGTCAGCTCCTGGATGAAGGCCTGTGCTGTCTACCACAGCAGAGCAGGGAAGCGCGACTTAGGGAGGAAAAGCATGATAGCGTCGTATAAAAATATATTTAAAATTTAGGGCTAGGGCTTAGGGGGAGAGCACTTGCCTTATATGAGTGAGGTCCTGGATTCAGTCCCTAGCACATACCCAGGTGTACCCACATGCACACACACAGACCTTAAAATTATTTCATAGAGAAAACACGTTTGTTATAGGTGGGCAAAGAAGAAAGTCTAAATCACTTGTAGTCCACCACCACAGTGTAACCAGTCGTCCATTTTCGTGTCCTGTTGTTGTGATAAACATCCTTACGGAAATCGGTCTAGGGCGGTGGAATGGTCTGTTGTAGCTCAGAAGACTAGGTTACCTCAGAGCACAGAAGTGAGTAGAGGCAACAGGAACTTGCTAGTCAAGAGCGGAAGAAATGCTTCGTGCGTGCTTACTGGTGCTCAGCCCACTTCCCACTCTTAGACAGTTCAGGACCCACCCCAGGATCCAGTGCTGCCCACAGTGGGCTGAGTCTTCCCACATCAGTGAACACAGTCAAGACAGTCTCCCCCAGACAGGCCCGCAGGCCGGCCTCATCTAAACAGTCCTTCAGTGAGGCTCTCCTCCCGTGATTCCAGACTGTCAAGATGACAGTTAAAACTGACCATCACACATTTTTGTCGTTGCTTTTGTTTCTTGAGGCCGGGTCTCACTGTGTAGCCCTGGCTCACCTGGAACTCACCAAGATCCACCTGCCTCTGTTTCCCAAGTGCTGGGACTGACAGCATGCATGGCCTCAGACCAATTTTTGTTTTTTTGAATGTATTCTTCCAGAGTTCTGGAAATTCCATCATATAGTACATTGTTATTTTCTAGCATTTCATGTAATGAGGGAAACATTTTCATAACTGTAGCACTACATAAATGACCGGATAATAGTTTGTTGTAAGATGTACCATCATTTATATTACAGCCCCTCCTCCCTCACATTTGAACTTCTAAGTTGGTCTGACATTCTGCTCTTAAAAACAGGAAGGTAGCAAACATTCTTTTTTTTTTCCCTTTTATTTTATTTTACAATACCATTCAGTTCTACATATCAGCCACGGGTTCCTCTGTTCTCCCCCCTTCCACCCCCTTCCCTTCCCCTCAGCCCACCCCCCAATCCCACTTCCTCCAGAGCAAAGCCTCCCCCGAGGACTGCGATCAACCTGGTAGACTCAGTCCAGGGAGGTCCAGTCCCTTCCTCCCAGACTGAGCCAAGTGTCCCTGCATAAGCTCCAGGTTTCAAACAGCCAACTCATGCAATGAGCACAGGACTTGGTCCCACTGCCTAGTTGCCTCCCAAACAGATCAAGCCAATCAACT